ACTGCTTCAACATGGACTGCTTGCCCATCTTCCTGGCTGGGCTTGACCTGACACAGATCAGCCTCTCTGTGGGGTCCCTCTTCTCCTGGGAGAAGTGGCAGGTCACCGGCCAGCCCTCCAGCAAGCAGCACGTGGCATGGCAGGAATACTGTTCTGACATCTACCTGCCCTATGCCAGCGGCATCACCTACATCCTCTCCCTGGACATGGCCAAGTGACTCTGGAGGCAGCCAGCACGTTCGCCCCATCCCCATGGAGGATGTGGGCATCCTGGTGGAGGTGGTAGGTGTCCAGGTAAGAGCCAGTGACAGCTTTGCCAAGCGCAATATGCCATGGCATGTCTGCAACTACTGCTACCTGATGGTGATCTGTGTCCTGAGTACTGGGAGCAGGAGAGGACTCGCCACAGCATGCTGCAAGTCCGCAGCACCGTCTGTGACAGCCCCAGCTCACCTGCTGGAACTGACCAGCTAAGGACCCAGCGATCAAGGGACCACGGCTGCAGCACACGCTGCCTCCCCAGCCCCAGTGCTGCCCAGCATTGCCCACCCTGGCCCCTTCCCTTGCAGAACGATGCAGCTCATGTCCCATCTGGCCTCCCTGCCCTTCCAAGCCCCAGCAGCAGCCCTGCTCCCTTCCACAACCTGGCAGCATGTTCTCCAGGCCAGGGTCCTGTTGGCCCCAGGCACAACTGGAAGCCATCACGGCACAGGCAGGGGCATGGAACATACATCTGCCCCACCGTGTGTGGCCTGGGAGTTTCTCGGAGGCCGTAAATAGCCGAGTTCCCCTTCTGCTCATCTCGAAAGTGAGAAGGGGAACATCCCCCGGACATGGGGAAAGAATCGGTCGACTGTTGTCACTGGTACAAAAGCTATTTTTAATTTTATTAAAATGTCTCTCTTCTATAAACTTCCAAAATATCCAGGGCCTCTGCTATAAAGATTTGTGCCACGGCTGTGTAGTGAATCGTTGCCCCTGGGGCCGGGGATGGTGGCACTCATGGGGGGGTGCAGCCGGCAGCAGGGGACACCTGAGGCTCCTCTTTGTGATCTGGAGAGGTGTGGGGAGCACCTGGGGAGCAGGGCACCCCGGGGCAACCTTCAAAAAGGGGCACGTGGGGGACGTAGTGACCGAGTGGGCCAGGGTGGGTCTGCGGCCGGAGCAGGAGCTGGTGCAGGGTCTCGCCCACCTGCACCAGGCTGTGGGAGAGGAGGTGGAGGTGGGAGACGGTGTCACTGGCCAGGCTCCCCAGCAGCGCCTGCTGCTGCTGCGACGTTTGCAGGATCTGCACCAGCAGCTGCTGAACGCTCTGAAGCAAGCCTGCCACGCTGGAGCCTGCAGGGAGAGGCAGGTCAGTGGCAGCAAACCCTCACCATGGCTCTGAGAGCCCCTGCCATGAGGCTGTTTGGGATGCTGCAGGGAGGACCCACCTTGCAGGCTTGCATGTGATGCCCCTTCTGCTGCTGGCTGCTCGCTCATGGCAGCTGTCCCAGGGGAGCCCGGGGCTGCGGTGGCCACTGGCAGCACTTGGTTTCCTCTTTGTATCCCCGGGGACGTCTCACCAGGAAAATCTGCCACAATGGTTTGGCATGGAGGGAGCAACCAGAGCACTGGAGCCACTCAAGCCCAAGCCCCATACACAGCCTGATCCCACCACAGAGCCCCAGGTGGGCACTGCTTGTGGGAGCCCCTGCTCTCCATCCCCACACGCAGGACAGGACAGAGATACCCCCTGGAGGAGGGGGACTTGCTTGAAGCTGCAGACACTTACCAGCCTTTTGCTCAGCTTTTTCCTGCTTCAGGGCAGTGTGACAACCTGGAAAGAGAACAGACGCAGTCCGTGAGCTTCAGCTACCTCCTGCCCCGGGGTGCACAGGCACAGTGGCCTGGGCATGGTACTCACCCAGGAGGGGAAGGGGAGGGAAGCAGCGACCGGTGTCTGCAACGAGAACCGTATCAGACCCTGCTTGTGGGGCTGAGGGGGTTTACTGGGCTGAGCAGGGCAAGGAAAGCCTTACGTGGCATGGTGGGGGAAACGGGCGGCACTCCAGCGACGTGGTCCCCACTGGCTGCTGGGAAAGAGCAGAGGGGAGAGATGCGCTGTCTGACGGGACCTGTTGGGGGATCACCACCACCCCGGGGCCTGCCCAGCTTGCCCCGGCCAGCCCCGCAGCCCGACATGCCCTAGCCACAGCTCGACAGCACCCTGCAGGGCCCCAAAGCGTTTCACGAGCTAGATACAAAAGCAGGAGTCACTCACCCACCACTGCAATGCAGCCACCTCTGGGCTGGAAGGCAGCAGCGGCGTAGCAGCGCGCAGCAACGCTACACAACAGATTAGGACTGGAAGTGAAGGAGAATCCCACATCCACTTGAAACTGCAGGGGGAATTTAGGGAGACAGAAGGTAATTACCCAGTGCGGGATGCTGGCCGGGGCACCCATGCAAATCAGACCCAGGGACATACCCTGCATCACCTCAGTGCCAAACCCTCAAGAGTGCAAACACTGAGGGGGCCGCAGGATCCGCCCCTGGGTGGGCTGCAGGGCAGGGGAGCTGCAGGCACCTCTGGCCCTCACACCCAATCCTAACTCATCTGGAGGTTTATGGTGTTACTGGGGAAGGGGGAAGCCAGGACCTGTCGAAGGAAGGGGAGTCACATGCCCTGCAGTGCCGCACAGCCACAAGAGCCCCCTGAGCTGGATCAGGGCCACTGTCCCTTTGAGACCTTGAGCCCCGCAACCTGCCATGGGGCAGGCAGCAGCCTCGCCATGTCCTCAGGCTGGTCAGAGCTGGGGACCCCTCCTGCCCTGTCCCAGCCATCCCCATTCCCTCACGCTCTGGGGCTGGTTTGGAGCCAAAGCCTCTGGAGAGCGGTCCCAACACCCCCATTGGCGAGCATCCTTGCTAAGGGACTTGTGATTGGACCCCCGACCCTCTAAGCCCCCCCATTCCCATCATGCTGGCATGGGCTTGGGCTGGAGCCGTGGCCGTGCAGCCCGGTGCAGCGGGGCAGACCGGTACTTACGGCTCTCTGGCTCCTCCTTCACACACTGCAGCAGTGGGGACAGCAGCGTGCCTGGGGCGTCCCTGCCAACATCGTGCTCTGCAGAAGGAGAGTGAGGGGTTGCAGAAAAGAGCTTCGATAACTGGGAGACGAGGTGTGCCTGCCACCCCACAGCTGGGACAAGCCGCACTCCAGCTGCCTGAACTCACGTGTACCTGGTGGCTCTGGCGAGGACGAAGGGTGGGCAGCAAGGGCTGACCTGCGCTTCCTGGGGGTCAGCTTCACCAGGTCTAGAGGAAAAGAAAGAGATCATCAACAGACCCTGGGCGGCCATGCAGCACCAGTGCTCCCTCAGTATCCCACGTCCAGCCACCCCGCAGAGCTCACCCACCCGTCCCTGGCACCCACCTGGCATCCTCCGCTCGCCGAAAACGGGCCGCCCGGCCGCCTTCCAGATGCTCTTCATGGCTCGGTAGTGGGGGGGCATGCAGGGCGAGTGGTGTCCTGCCGTCCGGCGCGTCTCCCGCTCCGAGTGGAAAGCCTGCTTGAGTGCCTTCCACTTGGAGCGGCACTGGGCCATGCTGCGCCCGTAGCCGGCCGCCGCCAGCCCCTGGGAGATCTCCCGCCACAGTGCCTCGTTGGGTCGCGACGTGGAAGCCATGAGCAGGGCGGCCTCCCCGGAGCTCCCCACCAGCGCCAGGAGGCTGCTGACCTCCGCCTGCGTCCAGGCTCGACCGCGGGGCATGCTGCCGGGGGCGAGGGTGGGTGCCGGGGGGAAATCTCGGCCCCCGGCCGGTGGTGAGGCCGGGATGGGCAAGGCTCAGCCCCGGGGCTCGGCCGTGCGCTCCCCGGGAGTCTGACGCACCGGGAGCCGCACCGGGATCTGCACCGGCAGCCGCCGGGAGCTGCACCGGGAGCTTGCCGGGAGCTGCACCGGGATCCGCGGGGATCCGCACCGGGAGCCGTAGGGGAAGCCGCACCGGGAGCTGCACCGGGAGCCGTAGGGGAAGCCGCACCGGGATC